GGTCGGAGGTCAAGCTGAAGCGTGGCCGATAACATAGCTTCTCCATGATTGGTCAGCCATTGCCTACCAGTAACACCTCTTCCACAGGCAGTGGTGATTTCAGTCAATAAGATGTGCTTTATATATCATTGAGTTATAGTGATAAAATATCTGAAATCTGCTAACATGATTATACAGACACAGGTTGAGTTGACATTTAAAAACCTTGCTTAACATATATCTGGGGAGTTTTTATCCCTTTCCTACTACAGAAGTATGTACGTCTATCTGGGAAAATTATCTACCTTAAAGCAGAGCGATGGTGATAAATATGAAACACAATATACTGAATGATTAGGTCCTATTTTAGAAATCTATATAAAAAATATATATTCTTAATAACTTTTTTGATGACAATTTAACACAATCATCTCATTTTCTGCTATCTTCAGACATTATTTGCCATAAAAATTGCTACTCTCATCAAAGTTCACATATCTTAATGAGCAATTATTTCATTTTATCTTCTGCATCTAAAGAAAAATCTGTCACTTTAAGGGCAGTTAACATAGGACGGACTGCTCTGGTTGGTCAATTTACAAAGTTATAGTTTTACATACAAATCGTAAAGAAGATATATATTCTGTTTTTACAGCAGTGAATAACTGAGACAAAACAAATTAAATATTACTGATATTTCAACCTGCAAATTTATAACATGATGTAAGCATTTAAATCCACACAGTCTGTTGGGTATCACAGCAATCCTAATTATCTACTACTTATCTCAAGTAAATCTAAAACATCCTTTGAATCAATGATTTCCTACTAAGAGTTTTAAGATTTATATAACTCCACTCAATGGTTTTAAATTTGTCCTTGTTTTTCTGTATGACTAATTTCTAAACCAGTAAGATAGATTGTAGTTTACAATATAAATTATTCATAATTAAAGGTTCAGAATTCATCTAGTTCATCAATCTGCTGTATTGTATTTCCTTTAGTATTGACTACAATAACTGATTTTATAATATTTTCAATAGTTTGATTATAATACAAATTTTATAATATTCTCTGTAGTTTCATTACAATACATAATTTTATAATATGTTCTATAGTTTCATTACAATACATGATTTTATAATATGTTCTATAGTTTCATTACAATACATAATTTTATAATAACCTCTATAGTTTCATTACAATACATAATTTTATAATATGTTCTATAGTTTCATTACAATACATGATTTTATAATAATCTCTATAGTTTCATTACAATACATAATTTTATAATATTTTCTATAGTTTCATTACAATACATAATTTTATATGTTCTATAGTTTCATTACAATACATAATTTTATAATATTTTCTATAGTTTCATTACAATACATAATTTTATATGTTCTATAGTTTCATTACAATACATAATTTTATAATATTTTCTATAGTTTCATTACAATACATAATTTTATAATATGTTCTATAGTTTCATTACAATACATAATTTTCTAATATGTTCTATAGTTTCATTACAATACATTATTTTATAATATGTTCTATAGTTTCATTACAATACATAATTTTATATTTTCTATAGTTTCATTACAATACATAATTTTATAATATGTTCTATAGTTTCATTACAATACATAATTTTATAATATGTTCTATAGTTTCATTACAATACATAATTTTATAATATGTTCTATAGTTTCATTACAATACATGATTTTATATGTTCTATAGTTTCATTACAATACATAATTTTATAATATGTTCTATAGTTTCATTACAATACATGATTTTATAATATTCTCTATAGTTTCATTACAATACATGATTTTATAATATATTCTCTATTTATTACTTACATTCATTTACAATCATTTATTTCTTCTTTTCATAAAAAACACTGCCAGTTAATTTTAATTTATATTTTATATTTAATAATGACAAATCTGTTTAATGTGTCTTTTCGCTTTTTTTTCTGACAACAATAAATCATTTTATTCTATTAGTTATAATCTTTAATCACAATACTTCAGTTTATGTCCATTTCCAATTATTTCAGCGGTCATTACTACTAGTGGTTCCACAAAACCCAATCAAGTGACCGATGCCATCTTCAAATTTTACAGTCGATGCACAAGAATATTTTTGAAACATTATTATTAGATATTCAGCTTTATGGCTATTAGCAACTGCCGCCACAAATACTCTTGACCACTGCCCAGCATGAAGTGACCACTGACAAGCTTGAGCTGACCATCAGCCATTTGATGATGCTGTATTGGTCATCCTGGCTTACAACAAAAGAGATAATTAAAGTTGACCCAGCGGTCACACGAGCCACCTTTATTTTTAAAGACTCAATAGTAAAACACCTGTCATTTGACCTCCACACTGGCGTTTTACCTGACCACTGGTCAAGCCAGGTGACCCTTGTGGTCATTTTTACACAAAGTGACATGTGTTTCATTATGACTAAATGTAGATATTAACAGCTCCAAGTGTTTTTAGCTGTAGTGCTATTACATGTCTCCTGACTATTGTGTTTGAATGTCTGCCTTGTCCTTTGTTCTGAGCCAATGGTAAATGAATGTAGCAGTCAGTGCTTTGTATAATACCTATTAGATAATCCCTGTAATCTATATTTGGTATTGTTCTTTGGATTTTTACAAAAAAATTTAAAGGAACAAGGACGTACAAAACAGAGAAGTATGAGTAGAGAATTTTCATTTTTGTGTCAGATTTAATTACATGTTACTCTCAATATGTATACTTTAAAAGCAGATATCTTCATGAGGTTCAAATTTTGTGGTTTTCAAATTTCAACCTGTAAATTTACATGGCTAAAAATTGACTAAACAGACTTCAGGAAAGGCTGTTGTATCTGACAGGATCTATTTTTTGCATAATCTTCCTTTAGAAAACATAATCTGTTTTATGATTTTGTATTTAAAAAAAGTATGTTCCCAGCTGTTATCCCGGTAATTTTAAAATGTCCTGACATCTCCTCCACCCCCCCCCCCAAATCCCCCAACAACCTTTATTGTTTAGGAATTCAACTAGCAGTGTAGTTGGTATGTCTAACTTTGAGAGAATTTCATCACCTGTCCTTTAGTGTTTACATTGAATTTGAAATTAAAATAATAATAAAAAAAGAATTTTGATGTGAATAATGGTATTACAGTATATCACTACATGTAAAAATTATATCAAACAAGCATAATGTAATCCATTTCAAATACCTTTCATATAAGTATATATGGGCCCTTTGGATCTTGTAATAAGCCCACTCCAAGGTTGTGAGTCATATGTTATATGACTGGCCTATTAGGGTCCTGTACTAAGGCCATCCACTGGTTTTAAGTTTAAGTAATATACTTCGCCCCTTTGGATCCTGTAATAAGCCCACCTGCAGGTTTTAAATTTAAGTAATATACTTCGCCCCCTTGGATCCTGTCATAAGCCCATCCCCTAATTTTAAGTCATAAGTAATATGGTTGACCACTCTGTCCTGTAATAAGCTCGGAGTTATAAGTAAAATGAAAATGGTTGCCGCCCCAACCCCCCTGAACTTTGAACTTATTGCAGGATTCTCAGTCGACCTCCTTCTATTATGTGACGTTATAAAACACATCCAATTTCATGATGTTATATAGATAAGATATCTGTAAAGGTTTTATTTTTGAGATTATTATCAGCTGGTCATTTCCCTCGTTCAGATGTTCTCTTTCTCAAATTAGATCAAGGTAGGTCAGCTAAAAATAACCTGTCTTATTAGATCACAAGATCCAATTTAGAACTTTACAATACTAAATCATCACCTTATTTTTTTCTGAAAATTATGATGAAAATATCTTACATCAGGGTCATTTCACAGGAAATTCCATAGTTTTTAATGAGTTCTATTTTTTGAAAATGACATCAATTTCTTTTTAAAGTTGGTGTGCATAATTAACAAGCAATATTCTGAAAGTTTCTTTTTTTCAAGGGGATCGTTGCTGTTTTTGAGGAAGGAATGAAACTGCAAAAAAAAGGTTTCTTAAAAATGAAGATAAAGAAAACAATAGCCTATTTCATGACTTCAACATCTAAGGAACCACAGGGAAAACCGTCTTGAAATTTGAGAGATACATCAAGTTCTTCTCAAGAAATAGCCTTAAATAAATTGTTAAAGGACAACAAAAACAGTTTAAGGGCATCAGCAGATCACAGGGGCATGGCAATTTGAATAGTTCACATGTGATAATGTTGGACTAATGATACAGTCAAACCTGTCCATAAAGGTCAGTTGAGGGGGCAGAAAAAAGTGACCTTTATACACAGATGGCCTTTATATAGAGGTTCAGTTACTTTAAATTGCATAGGGAACCAAATAAGTGATGTTTATGTAGAAGTTTGACTAATTTCATTACATAGGAGACAGCCCAAAAATGGCCTTTATAGACAGGTTGAATTTGTATACAGGTGGCCTCTAAAACAGGTTTCACAATATAATCCATTTACATCAATTTTTTGTCATAGGACAATAAAATTTTGGACCATCAAATAAAAAACAAGTGCATTTAGCTGTCACTCAGCAGAGTTTTTGACTGACAGTAGTGTTCAATGTATGTCATTACTCAACTGTTTTAATGAAAGGTACAATTTTTTTAGAAATATTTTTTATCACAGGAATTTATATTCATCATTCAAGCTTACTAACTCTCGCATTAGAATCATTGAAATGTAAAATACCTTTATTCATGAAAAAACAGTTGTTTTTTCCTCAATAATTACCTCTCAAATGCAATTTCTTTTTATTTGCCTAAAATCCACCCACCTCCGTTAAATTTTCATTTGATTTCATTCAACCAAGTATCACTAAAGAATGCTTTTAAAGCACAATCGTTTCAGATACTTTTTTGTATTGTTGGGTTTTTAATCACATTTTCCCCTTTGTGCAGGCCCCAGGACATTTAAATTCGGTCATAAAACATGAACACAACACTTGATCCCCTGACCCCTACCTTTTTATTGCGCCTCCTAAATCGTGAATGGATTCGCTGCAATCCTTTGCTCCATTATAACCAGGCTCATCCCCCTGCATCTTCTGCCGACCCCTGACCTCACAAAACGGATCTTGTGAGTGGCCATTATCTGTGCCTGGGTCACAGTGACCATTGGGGGTGTCATCCTCGCCTGGAAATAAAAATGATGTACATAATTAGTCCAAGCCTTTCATCAAGTACAGATGTTTTTAAGTGAAGGTGATGCATATTATCTTGATATGGGATATTCCTTCAGTCCCTTAAGAGGTCCCAAAGGGGGAATTTTTTCCCCAAGCTAATCTTGAATTTTATTATTTCTTCCAAATAAAAAACAAAATATATCTATATTAAATAATATAAAAATTATTTATTTTCAAAAAAAAAAAAAAAAAACAATATGGTAAAACATTTCAAAAAACAATAAAATGTGCATAACAACAAATAAATATTTTACAGTCCAACCTATCAATAAGTCAAAAAAAAAACAAATATCATGTTTTATTCTACAAAATTGCTCAAACATATATTTCCATATGAAAACCATGTTAGGTTCTTTTTTTTTTTAATATGTGACAAGTAACTTATATTCAACATATATATGTCATAACATTTAATCATTTCAGGGATATTTTTTCCTCTTTTGCTTTACAAACTAGTAGTTGTAGAATTCCAACACAAATTCCTGTCAAACCATACAATTTTGTGAGGTTCAATTTTTGTCCTTTTTTTTTTTTTATTTTATTTTTTTTTCATGCAAAGTTCAACATTTTTCTTTTTTTTTTTAAATCCCTTTTTTGTTGGCACATGCTTTCGTGCATAAAATATAGGTTGGTCAATCTTCTTGTATTTATCTTAAAAGTTTGTCAACATGTAAATTTGAAGATAAGAATTATGAAATCAACAAATATATATCCCCAAAAAAACAATGAATCTTCAGTATTTAATTTTTCAAAACACTTTGTTCAGATTGGTAATGTGAATAGAAAAGAAGTTTTTATAACACAACCAGTGGAAGATTAGAGTGTGATGTTTTGATGACTACACAGTCACCTCCAGAGTTGACCAATGTGGATCCTGCATATTGTATGAGATGGTACAGAATCAACCGACATTTTTACCAGTATTATAAACCTAAGGTCAAAAATACTTTGATGAGATAATAAACAGATCATAGACTAAAACATTCACATTGTAACAATGTACTGTAGTCAGTTCAGAGGTACTTTGTCTAACACACTATTTTCAACTAAGTATACAAAAATTTATACTACAGTAGTCATCAAAACATCACATTCAAATCTTCTACTGGCTGTGTTAAAAAAAACTTCTATTCTATAAAATATTTAAATTTAATATTTCTTTCAATATCATTTTAAATTTCTTTAATTCATTTAAAAAAATTTATAGTAAATGTACTGAATATTTTTATTAATTTCTAGATTCCAGTAAAATTAATCAAATTTTTAAATCTACAACTTCCAAGTCCCATCTTCAGAATCGCTTTTCAGTGATTCCATGAGTTAGAGAAAAAGTCTTGTCGAATCAACTAACCAACCAACTGATAACATGAGTCTCAATCAGTTGCAGATGTAAGATCCAACTAGCATGCTGGTATCCCTCACTTGACCTGTGGTGATAGCTAAACATTTGACATGCAAATAAATTCTCTATAGAAATGCCAAGCCTAAAACCCTGAGCACAAATCAAAATCCAATTATAAAAATCCCAGATAACTGTATTTGTGTCACGCAATCAGCACAACAGGAAAATAATTTTGGTGTAACTGTAAAAGTGCAACAAAGGGACAATAAACGGACACGAAACGGAACAGTTGGACACACAATAGCCACCCGTCCTACTCCACCCACCTCCATTTTAGTTTATTAGTGCTGGTCATCCTTTTGATGGCTTTTTGTGTCCATCCTTTTACCTGTAATGTGTTGTTATGTCATTCAGTCAGCATGTCAGTCATTAAAGTGAACCTAGAGTGCTGGTATTATGCAACTGTCAGAGCTGATTAAATCACAGTACAAAATTGTCAAAACTCTGTTCTCCTCGATTCAATTTTTGCTCAATTTAAAAAAACATTTTTGATCTAGAATAACACTGTGGTTCAATAAAACAAAATGTTAGTAAAACAATTTTTAATTTTAATTATGTACAATGCCAACCTCCAACAAGAATGGTTAAAAGAGGTATGCTACCTTACTGCGAGATGAAGACTTAAGGGGGTATGCTGCCTTACCGTGACATGAAATCTTAAGGAGGTATGCTGCCCTACTGTGACATGAAATCTTAAGGAGGTATGCTGCCTTATTGTGACATGAAACCTTAAGGAGGTATGCTACTTTACGGTGACATGAAATCTTAAGGAGGTATGCTACTTTACTGTGACATGGAGACATGATTGAATTAAGGTTGTAACTTATGGGTGTATGTACGTTGCCATGGAGAGACATGAGAGTCTATGCAGCCTCCCTTTGACCCAGTGACTTGAGATGAGTGCTATCTTACATGACAAGGAAACTTATCTATATTTTGTTCTGCAATATGACTAGGGGGCTAACACATTTACTTCTGACTCCAACTAAGATAGATGGCTTATTACAGGACAATGAAATAATAGTTGATATATTGATTGAAAAGTTCAAGATAATATCGGCGGGCTTATTATAAGACATGGGCTTATTGCTGTTTAAATATAGTAAGGGTATCTGCAACAAATAATTATTTGGATTTATTAAGCAAACTGATCAAAATGCCATTTAACTTAAGAAGAACAAAAATATTCATCCTGTTTTGACAATGAGGAAAAGAAATAACACTTCATGTACCAAACATACAATTTTCAAACACACATGTGCCAACAAATCTGAACTGAACTCCGCCTTGTGTCAATATTACTGACATTAGACACACTATTAAAATACAAATATGTGTCTATCATCAGGAATGTGGTTTAACCCCGAATTTTGATCAACATACTTTTTCAGAAACGACTTATCCTTTTATTTATTGCAAACTGGATGATATAAAGCTTACTAAGTACATAAGATGGATGTCTCTGTCAACACAGTCAGATTAATTTTGTCCCTTTTTAACCTCATTTAAAGATTTTTTCTGCTAGTTAGTTTAGATATTTTATTCTCTATTCAGGGAGTGGTCTCGATCAATTGACAAGTCGATTAAATCTAATCAAGACTGACCAATCGCTGGACGGAGGCTAGCCAATTACGACAACATGTCATTTTTACCGAGACCGACCGAATGCTTCTATGACAGGATAGTCAGATGAAAAATGGACCATTTTAAAATCCCATCAATTATAGGAATGCTTATTTTCTCTTATTTTATATCTGAACACATTCCAAGCACAACTTTTGGGTAATAGGATGTGACTAAAATCTGCATTACAAGTCTTCTTATCAATGTTATAACAAACTTGAAAAATATCTTAATAAAATTTTGAAAATAACTGGTAAATTTCATATATTTCACAAGTCTTCTTATCAATGTTTCAAGAAACTTGAAAAAGATTTTAATATATTTTTGAAAGTAATTGGTAAATTTCATATAAATACAAATATAAATTTCAATGCTGAATTCATTCATTGTAAGTATTCAATATATCATACAAGTCTATGCATACGTCTACCACTGTCAAAAAATCAATTTGACTAAGTCACTGCGCAATAACCTCATTTCAACCCATATGGCAGTAATAAACAAAATATTTAAAAATGCAGCTGTGGTGTGTTTTCAGATCAATACTTAGAGAACATGCCTGAAACAGTAGCTGATTGATCAGATAAGAAGGTCAATTATAAAGCCATACTCATTAATTATACAAGTATTGATCTACACTGACCATTGGCCAAGCAGACATTCAATGGCTGACATCATCATCAGATGTGGGTAATCACAGCTGCCCTTTTTCTGTTACGCAACACCTCTCAGTACCAGACTCTGATCAGTATTTGTACTGGTCAATGCAATGTCCAGTGGCTTAAATTACAAAATACTGTCAACTACTGTTGTAGTGGTCAGGCCTGGTCATCAAAGAAAATTTGAAAAATAGGTTTTGTTATCAAAATCAACATTACTGCAAATAGTAATCTCTGATTTTCAAGAATTTTTTTTTAAAAACAAACCCAAAATATGCTTTATATATTGCAATTATTTATTGAACAAAGTTAATATCTAGTTGTCATGGAGATTTCAACATCAGTATCACCATGGGCAAAAAAAGGATGAGGTCAACTACCACCACAAAGGCTATTTATACCCGCTTGAAACTACCACCGTACTCTTACATCAGGAAATTAGGCAGGTCATTGCAAATACAGGCTTTAATGCTATATGGTAGCTTTTCATTTGAAAAAAAAAAAAACATGAACACATACCAGCACACATGAAGGACGAAAGAAAGCAACAACGAAATAAAACTTAGATCCAGAGGTGAACAACTGATATATCTATGACCAACCCATTTTTAGTTGGGGGAGGAGAAAGTAAAGAGGATACACAATTAGATGGGAACTACACCCTTTCTTGTATTCACTTTACACAAAACCACCCTTTTCATTGTATCGCCTTTACGAGACAAGGGCCGTCAGATAAGGGTTGTACTACCCGATCGAGACAAAATTGAAGTATGAATAATAACAAAAGGCAATAGCACCCAAATTATGCAAAAAAAAGTGATGGTTCAAAACACATAATCTTTATTGTATCAGCTTACTGGAAAAGTCACAGATGAGAACCACACTCTTTATTGTATCAGCCTTACAGGAAATGTCACAGATGAGAACCACACTCTTTATTGTATTAGCCTTACAGGAAAAGTCACAGATGAGAACCACACTCTTTATTGTATTAGCCTTACAGGAAAAGTCACAGATGAGAACCACACTCTTTATTGTATTAGCTTTCACAGATGAGAACCACACTCTTTATGTATGATTACTCACAGATGAGAACCACACTCTTTAGTGTAATGCCTTACAGGAAAAGTCAATTATGAGAACCACACTCTTTATTGACACAGGAAAAGTCACAGATGAGCCACACTCTTTATTGTATTAGCCTTACAGGAAAAGTCACAGATGAAACACACACTCTTTATTGTATTAGCCTTACAGGAAAAGTCAC